CGGCCTATTCAAAGGAAACGTAAGGAAGATTAATATGGAATAGGAAAACTTGAGAGAAGCTGCAAACACCAAGCCCAAGCACTTGTGTTCTCTGTAAAGACACAGCAAAGCCTGCAAGGTCAGCTCTGCTTCGGAGTGAAAAGAGAGGATCTGTCTCTAATATAGAAGCACTATAACCCCATAACAAAGCTCATCCTTCAAGCGTGAACCAGACCATGCTGGAATATTTCAATTAAGCCACGTTTCCCATGTGCTGAGCCAACCTGAAATCAGTGGGGCTCTCTGCCAGCTTGTACCAGCTGATGGCTCAGCTCTCCCGTGTTCCCATCGAGGCACAAAACACTGCTGCACTGCACCAGCTTCTATAAAAGATGCAAAGAAGGATAGCGAAGAACGCATAGAAGCAAAAACAAATCCAGAAAGGATCCGGGGGAGAAGGTAGAATGTGTGACTCTGCAACACAGAAGGGTAAAAATGCGGGTAGTTTATAAGGCTTAACTCCAAGGCAATAAAAGTGACAAGCACTGGCCTTCCATTAGCAACCATAAGGCAGCCATCAGGTTAATCACTACCAGAGTGAGACAACCCCACTCGGGTCCTTTACCGGGGCCGCAGCAGCACACAGAAAGCACATTGTACAAAAAGCCACACATGGGAAAATGTTATTAGTGCAACACTGACCAGGCTAAAAGGTTGGGAAAGAGGTGGCCAGGAGGAAATACCAGCGGCGAAGCCGTGTATGTGTATCAACAGCTCAGTGTGGGCTGTGCAGCCGTCTCTACTGAACAAGGAGTTCTACAGAGCTGCAAGCTGCAGAAATATTTCAACACCATCACTGTTAGGGGACTCTCTTACCAGGCTATTCGGTTGTGCTATTTAGCAAGTCAGAGGTGACTAGAGAAGTGTTATAGCAAAAAAAAAAATAAATACATTGGAGTTTATTTAAGATTAAATTATATAATCCCAGCATTGAGAGGCAACATAGTTTTGAAGTCTGTCATTAATTTTTTTTCACTGAATCAGGTCCTTTTATTCATAAGCACTGCCGTATTGTCACTTCGGGTATATCGTTTTTCTGGCAGTCTGAAGAACCAGGCATGGTTTACCCTAGTACATCGGCAGAAGTCTCTGCGTATTTAGCACTTCTGTGCCACACAAGATTCTTCCATTAGACTTGAAATTTAGGAGCAGTACAGTCAGCCTTTCTTCCAGACATCCCAGAGCAATTTGTTTCTCTTGGTGCAGTTCAGCCTGCTAGAAGCCTAGACCCTTCAAGTGTTAAATACCACCAGTGCTCAAATATACAGTGTTATTTCTGTGACAAAACAGCTTTATACTGTGTTACTCTAACGTCAAAAAAAAATAAATGTGTCCTGTTGGAAGGCAGTATTTATAGTTATTTTGTGTCTAACAAACAGACTACAGTGGCATCATCCCTGTAGCACTGGAATATTTTCCCGGTGAGGCTCCCACAGATAAGGTCTAATCACAGGTTTCAGCATCTTGCTGCTTTGGCTGCTTTGAAGCATTTCTGTGAATATAAACTACATAATATTGAACAGTTTTCAGCAACAACTTGAGCTTCCAGAAAATTTTAGTCTTGGGCCTTTTAAAAAATTCCAAAGCCTTCGAGTCTGGAGGAGCTGTGCGCACATGTGTCCAGCAAGAATCAAGTTTCTGTATTTTCAAGTGCAGTAATTTAACTGTTAAGCTTTTCAAGCTTGAGAGCCAGAGTTTAACCCAAGGCCTTCAAAAATGCTGTTTGATCGTTGGTGAATGTTGACAGACAGCAGGACGAGAAGGCTTTTTTCGGAATGATTTTCCTGAAGAGCAAATCAAGCCTCCGTGACAGATCAGAGCGCGATTTGCAGCGCAGGTGGCTGCTGGCTCGGTGCGGTATTAGAAGGGTTAAGGAGCCATCTGCTGGCAGCTCCAACAAATTGTTGAATGCAGCAAAGCTAATAAAATTTCAATTACAAATTAATTATGTACAGTGCATTTAATTATCCATGGATTCAAACTGTCCATGGATAATTCAAATGAAGCACTTTCACGGGGGATATACAGTCTGCTACATATCTGCCAACCATTTAAATTAGATGCCGATGGATTCTGGGTGTCTGGTCTGTCTTCAGAGAAAGGAACGGCTGGGCCCAAAAACAGCGTGTTGAATTTTGCCGTATTAATGTGTCGAGACACCAGAAAAATGTATGCAGGCCACTTCATACATTTAGGTCATTGCCTCAGAAGAGAAAGCACAGGAAAGCACCTCTTTAAGATCCAGAGCTGAGGTTATTCATTGTATTTCCACTTACTCAGTGGGGAAGTAAAAGGAACAACAAGAGGACAGGTGTGACAGTAAGCGTTCTTTAAGAGTTAAAATGAAAATATAGTCTGATATAAAACTTAAGGCTCCATTTTAGAGGGCTGCTAACCACAGAAGTCATCTCTGAGCCAAATGGGGAAGATCTGCACCTCCCTGAGTGCCGTGGCCCCGCGGAAAGGACAACGTGATTCCCTTTGAAGTACACGAGCAGAGTTCAACCATTGCCAACAGCTTTTATAGCCTCTGTAACCACCCCCCCACCCCCCCTTACTCAGCCCATCGCATCACACTGCAGCATCAGACACCCAGGTGTGGAGAATGTGTTGCAGAACAGCTACGCAGCTTCCCAGGGTTCATACAGCTGCATCACCTCAAAGCAAAAATACCAGGAGACCACCACTCTACAAACAAGCGCACAGCACCTCTTTGGTCATAAACACGAGTGAAGCAAGGAAGAAGCACCACAACAACATCAGGTCCCGCAGTGACAGCCTGTAAACTTGAGCAGACAGCATGCCACCAGCCCAATCTCCACTCGGGGGAAAGGCAGGCTTGCAGGGGAACAGTCTCACACTGCCTCATCTGACATCCTCCCCACGCATGTACAGAGCAGGAGCAAAAAGTGGTTGTTATCTTACATTTCTGAAGGTAAAAGTCACCGTTAGAAACATCAGAAGGCCCCAGCTAATAATCCATTCATTAGTGGTGCTGAGTTTGGTGACGGTCTCTGAGTCAGAGTTTCCACACGTCACAGTAGATTTCATAGTGGGTGCATGAAATGCAAATGCAGCTCTTTAAGAAGCTGTAGATTTCTTTCAGCGACTTAAACTACACCTGTATCTTTCTTTCCAAGTCTTAATTTTACAAAAAGTACCACTTATCCCATCTCTGCTATATAACCATGCTACCACATTACTCTTCCACCACTTGTCTCCGAGCCCGTTTACAGACATCCAGGAGCTAACTGAATTCACCTGCAAAGGCAAGTCAGGAGGACTGACTTGCATTTTCTTCAGGTGTCTGAGCCTTTGACTAGCAGGATACTCAGCAGAATATCCCCAAGTCTAAGGCTATTGCACAGCTCAGTTCCATGAAAGCCACAGGCTTACCCTCTCAAATGTACCTTGCAGTGTCTGCAGGCTTAAGAATACGCCGAACGTACCTCTGCAAACAGATAAATAGGAGAGATAAAAAAGCATCTGGCCTTAAAATGGCAGATATTATTGCTGTACAATTTTGATCTGTCATTCCAGCTCATATACTCAATTCACTGCTGGACTGAGAAGTTACTCCTTAAGTTGTACATACAGATAAACATTCACATAACTACCTGGGTCCACACATCAGTTTCTGCAGGATTTTCATGTTATCTTTCATTATATGATTTTTTTATTTCTTAAATCCTCATTAGTAATGCTAAGCATTTGAGTTCCTGCCTTCCAACAAAGGAAAAAGTTCAGTTTTCCCTGATGAAACTGTTCTGAGCTTGGAGGTAGCACTTGACATATTCTAGGACTGACAAGTTACCACAAATAAAGTGTCACATGCTGGAGACGGCATTGTTTCCACTTCACCCCATCAGCAGCACAGCAGAGCAAACAAGTTTAACAGCCCTCACCTACTATTCTTTTCCCCTATCTTCAATCCATTTTTACTGTACAGGCACACACACTTAGTGCTTTTGAAATGCATCCATAAAAAATGAACTGCAGTGCTTTGAAGAAAGATGTTCATGACTTAATTTTTCCTGCACTGGCTGTCAATCAGACATTGAGCTTATGATGTATACAACCTATCGATTTTGTAAGCTCCCTTCCTGGAAGCAGCAGTTTCAACTGAGGAGGGAAAAAAAAGCAGGACAGAAGAATGCCATCTCTCTCGTTACCCATTGACTCCAAGCCATCACTTTTGTTGCTGAGCAAACTAGCACGGCTCTGAGAGCCACTGGAAAGTGATTAAAATTTGGCAGCAGAATGTCTAAACCACTGGCGTTTCTATAGCAATAGGGAGAGTGCAAGATGTGAAAAAGCCTGTAGCATTGCTGCCATCCTGCTGTGAACCAGGGGTATAGTGCCTCTGACTCCGGAGCCAGAAAGCCCATTTGTATAGACAACCCCCGCTCCAAATTTAACAGGTTCCATTTTAATTCTTAGGCTAACTGCAAATTAAATGTTACTTTGTAAGCCAGAAGATTGCATGTCAGCCTATTCTGCTTAAATATTAGTACCCTTCCTTCTCGTGCAATAGCCATGTCTTGCCTGTCTCCCCATCTGTATTGCCTTTGGAAAACCAGGGAGGGATCCTGTGGGCAAGGGCAGCCACTCTAAAGCTGCTGGTGGTCTATCATTTGCCATTGAACTCCAGGTCCAGGCTTCCTTTTGCATGACTACAGCTGAATTTGGGTTGAGAAATGAAGAATGAGCATAGCAGTCAAAATGATCCAATTTGGACTGGGTTCTTAATGTTAGATTCCTAACTAAAAACAGTCAGATTTTCCAAGGCTGCTGAGCAGAGCCAGTGCTATCCATGAGTGCTGAATGTTTCTGGACAAAGATAAACCAGGCTAATTTTAACTGCTGAAATATGGATTCAAAGGCATAATTATAGGCACCCAGGTATGAAATCGTAGCCATTTTGATCAACTTCTTGCCTTCTCTCCCCCATTTTCTCTTAGGTGGCTAAGCAATTGCAGCCTTCAGTCGTGTGGATTGGAGAGACAGAAAAAATATTTTCTAAAGCAGTGCCGAAGGCTGAAGAGGTGAGTTGCTCCTTTTTTATTTCAGTACAGATAATTTCTCCTGTTTCATTACAGCTGACACAAAGGAACAAGTGTATTTCTTAGCTTAGCACATACCAGTATGGCCAGACCTGCCAAAGCTTGCTTGATAATAGCTTGTCTCACTAACGTTTTTTTTTTTTCTTTTAAGAGAGTCTTGTGACTTCTTAAGAGCCCCCAAGAGGTCACATTTTTCTCCTACACCTATACTTGCTTTATTTAAAAATAGTCCAGTCACTGCTCATCAGTGCACTGAAAAGTAGAAGAGAATAATGGAGAATTTCAAAGTACGAGGCAAGAAACTAAAAGTTAAGATGAGCTTAAATTGTTCAGCTCTATTAATTTGAGAGATTGGATGGAGCCAAAGTGAACAATAAAGTAACGAGGATAGATTTCCACTGTGAAAACAAAAAGCCTATGTTAAATAGTTATGTTTACAGATTGTTTTCTTGGGTTCCCAGGAGTCCCATTGCCATTGCTTCTATTCCTTCCTCTCTTGTGTAGCTTCCCCACTAGAAAGAAAATTAAAACACTGCCCAATAGGCACAGCAACTCAACCACCGCAGCGGAGCACAATTCACCCGAAATCCTGATTAGATTCACGCTGCTTGCAAAATATTTCACATGTAGAGCTCCATGTGAAAGATTCAAGCTTTTTTCTTGAGGCAAGTCCTGTACATTTAGTCTGTGGGATGGACACAAGTTTGTATTTTAGAAGACTGATGAAGCATCACCTCAGACGAAGCTGTTATTTCTGTGAGGGCCGTATGAGCCGATGGGTGTGCTGTGGTTGATGCCTTGCAGCGGTCCCTACACCAAAAAGGAACCTTTCTCTTGGGCTAAAATTGTGACAGCAAGTGCAGATGGGGATTAAAATTAAGATTAGGGGCCAAAGGTCGCCTGGAGTACTCATGATCTTCCTCTGCTTTGGTAGTCACCAGTGTAGAAAAATTTCTCATCCTTTCCACCTCAAGAGTTACAAGTATCACCTCTGTCCCTGCTATCATATCCCAAGACCTGTGGGTATTTAACAAAAGGTCTCTTGTGTTCTTGGTGCGAGTGGATGGCTCCAGGCTTGAAAATTCATGTCCCACATAGTTCACAGCATAACCCATATTTGGAGCCAGAGAGCATGAAACAGGAGGGACAGGCAGTGGTAACCGGCAGTCTGGGGAGCCTTCCTTAGGAGCACTAGAATTTTGGGGAAGATGAGCTAATCTCAGCCCCTCAGAAGCCAAAGTGAGTGGAAGTCACTTTGCTCATCCCAGTGTGACATTTCTGGTACCATGACTGAGAACCTGATAAAAAGAAGCCTTATATTCTTCAAATACCCACTAGAAATGTGGTGTGTGTCTCTCATAGCTAAATAACTAGAGGTCACCTTCACAATTCAACCTGCTCTTCTCCAGCTCAGGTCCACATGGTGGCTGAAATCATAGCCTACCCCTTGAACAGCCCTTCTTGCTACTGACACGTTTCTTTCAAAGTGGAGGAGATATTATTAGCTTTCAGGACATATCCCTGAAATGTGTATGCTATGGACACACATTGGTTTCACAAGCATAACAGGAGCTGCCGACACATAAATGCCAGTCTGGCTTAGTAGGCTTAACATGAGTGGAGGGTTTAACATGAGTGCTTGGTCTCTGATACTGGTTCAATCATTTCAGATTTTAAAATTAAGACTCCTACAAGCTGAGCAATGAACACTTGTTGTAACCAACTCCAGGTCAGTGGGTATCCATCAATATCATTTGTCACTCCCCAAAAATTATGTTCTACGTGCAGGGTATAAATTAGGACTTATTTTCACGAGCAAGAGGCAAAATAGGAGTCAGACAGTTGTTTGAAAAATTCACTGCATCTCCTGAGAGAGTCAGTTTTTCCAGCAGAAGAAAGCAAGCCCAGAAAATGCCATGTCTCACTTGAAGTAACTGTTATCAGTCATTTCAGCAAGATGGGATTCTTCTACCCTGCCCCACCTCCAAAGCTAAAGTAATTTGATAATTCTCACTTTTATAGCAATACCGATGTCTTGAAACATCTTGGAGAATATTTGTACTTCTTTCCAATACAGATGAAGGGGAGGAAAGCTTGAAGTCTATGAGTAGCAACCGATATATAAATCACAGAGTAATCTAGCCAGCATAAAATGTGTTAGAAACAAAATAAATCCACATTTCGGTCATTGCTGTGACCAGATCTCCCTGACAGAGGAAAAGTAGCAAGGTTGGCTAAAACTTAAGGGTAGATATGTAACAGCAGTTTGTTTAATCAAAGAAGTCAAGTTCATTACCAAAAGCTTCCCAACAAGGGAATGGCAAAGTTTGGATAAGAGCTTGTGATTTGAAGTCATGCCCTCAGAGAGCAAGCATACTGCTTGGGTGCGGACAGAGCACCATCCTTTCTTTCAGAGCAAGGGGGAGGCCAAGACTTCTGCTTTGCTCCAGGGCAGACATACTGTGGTTACAAGGCATGTTCTCTGGGGGCGAGCGCAGGCGTCCCGCTCTCCTCTGCGGGGACCGTGGGGTGCCTAGGCGTGACAGAGGGGATGAAAAGATGACAGCTGGTATTGAGGGGTGGCCACGGGAATAGTTCATCCAAGAGCAAAAGCATGAGCTGGATTCATTGTCCTAGCAAGCAACATGCCCATGCTCCAAAGCGGGACCAGGGCTAAGACATGCTTAACTCATTATCACGATTAAGCAGTTGACAAACTTAGGAAGCTGCATGGTATGACCATGAGAATAAGAAGAATGAGTAAACAGATGTAATTAAGACAAGTTTAGCTAGAAAACGACTGTGTGACTACCCTAAGACTTTGGGGATTTCTTACTGATTTCCCAGTTTACCTTCCTCTGTAGCTTTCGCTCCAAAGAACAGAGCTTGGTCTCCTTTCTGTCAGCTGTCTGCTACTAGAGACAACAGAAAAATTGGATCACAAAGTTTATACGTGCAATGTAGATTCACAGGTCTTTATTATTGCCTTTCAGCTGAAAAGATTTGCAGGACAGTCTCTTCCTTATTGACATTAAGGAAGGCTGATCTGCAGTTGAAACCCAAGTTTTCCAGGGAGCTGCTTACTATACAGTTTAAACAAACAAAAAAAATAAAGTAACAGGGTGATCTAGAGAGTAAAGTTTTCAAGTGAATGTTGGTGACTTGGATGTTAAGTCTCAATTGTTTCTGAAAAAGGCTTCCAAGTCATTAGATTTCTGATACACTATCCTAACCCAGTTATTCACTTAGAGCTCTATTAACAGTAGTGTGACACCACAGCAATTTGATTAAGCTTCTCCAACCAATAACAGGTTGTGCTTGATACTCATCTGTTCTGTAAATAGTAGTTAAATATCTGTTAAAGTCAAACAGTAAATTATTGCAAAGAAATGAATCCCGAGTTCACACAGCTTGTGTTCTCAGGTTAGAGCCTCAGCAAACTAGAAATCATAGCAAAAATTAAGGAGTGTGTTTTTCACATGTAAGCCATGGGTAGGAGTTCATAGATCATAACCTCCAAGATCCGGGAGGATTCCCCACCAGATTACCTACCCTGGCAGTTTTTCTGTCTGTTAAGGTTCATCAGGTACACAGGTCCAAGCAATATTTCTCCTTGAACTGGAAATCAGGATTTCTTTCTTTAAATGAGTGGTTTCCTTCCTGCTTTTCAATAACAGGACCAGCAAATTCAGTAGTGAGAGGCACTAGCACAAACCCACAAATACACAAGCAGAAATGCAATGTTTAAGTGACTTCCAGAAGACACGGGCTTTCTACTTAGGTTGAGCATCTAGACTGCTTATAATCAGTGCAACTAGATGACTAAAAAAGCATAAAATCCTGTTGTATATAACACGTCTACAGCTTCACCTCATTAACTCTAAACTGTCAGCGTCAGTAACAACTCTTTCCTCCTTGTATTTACATGTACCTGCTGAAGATGAACCCAAAACGACTGCAAAAGATCCTCCCCAAATTCCTCAAGGCTTTGAAAGCACAGGACAGAGTGCTGCTAGTGGGAACCACCAACCGTCCCTTTGATGCTAATCTTAAACCTTTCTGCAAATTTTACCAAAAAATCATTCTGATTCCTAGGCCTGACTACGCTTCAAGATTTGGCAAGTATTTCAAGTCATCCTGGTGATTGCACTACTGTGTAAAAATCCATGCTTATTGTCTGGTTATCCTCAAAACTGACTTCAAACTCAATTCATACCTCTGGTACATCTCAGTTCCTGAAAATTCTGGTAATACTTATACAGGCTACCCCAAAGATCAAATAATGAAAGTGGAAGACAGGAGAAGAGTTTAAAATACTCTTCACCTGTGATTAACGTTTTTTCATGAGTTTAGTGTGCAGCAAGTTCAGCCCAAGCTGTTTTTTCCCCTGTATGAAGGATAAGATCCTATTTCAGTGCACATTTTCTACTTTAACCATTTTTGTTGTTTTTTTGTTTTGTTTTGTTTTGTTTTACATAAGGATTCTGAATTTCCGTTATTCCTATCCAGTTTCCATACTCTAAACAATACACTTCAGGGCCTATCCATAAACAGAACCATGTCTGGAGGACTGAGATTTGTCACTATCAAATTCCATTTTTGTACTTACAGATCATGAGGGAAATCGTAAAGTCATCCAAGATTTTGCATGTCTAGTCTATCAAATATTTACAGTGATAGACAGGCCCTCCCAAAGCCTAACAAGATTCATTGAGTGCCCCATATGGTGAGACTCAAAGCTTGTAAGGAAAGACCAATTTCCATGGCTAGAAAAAGACAGACTTCCAGGAATGCAAGTTCATTTTCAGATTTGAATCACCTTGAAGTCTGGAATAGCTCAGCATTGACTGGGAAGAAATGCTCCAAATTAAGCTTAGTAATGTGATTCTATTACTACAAAAAATAATGGTATTTTGTCCACATCCTTCAGAAGCGACTGGTAGAAGGGCTTTTGTTCCCAAAAATATAATTTTTTTTCATGTGGTTTAATACATTTTTCTGGGTACAAAGGTGTCGATGTGGTGACTCATGAGCAGAAGGGCTGTTTTAGGTTCAGTCTAAAGATAACATGGAAAGAGGTTTGGGGCAATTCAGAATGGCACCAAAGAGTTCCAGTTAGGACTCTCAATGGTGCACTTCTGCCAGCAGCTCCTATTGATCACCACATCAAGGAAAACAAACTCTTCATGCCACTGATCTCTGACAGATCATGTCCCAGAAGAATACAATAATAAAAGAAACCACATTCAGTTCAGGGATCTCGCTGTACAATTAGACCTTGACTACAAACATTGCTCCGCATAGTCACCTTGTTACAAAAATCCTGCAACCGTATTGTGAAGTCCCATCTCATACTGCCTTTCACAGAGGGAGCCGAGGTACGGAGATTACTGAGATGATACATACATTTGGGCAGACTCAAGACAGGTTTTGACTGCCTAGCACATTGTAAATCTCTCCCACGTTCAATAATTTTCATAGTGTGGATGGGAAATGGTCTCTAAGCAAGCTAACATGTGTTTCATGTTATGTTACAGCTCTGATAAATCACTAACAGATAAGGGTCATGAATTAGACCTAGAGAAAGGAGGTGATAGCAGCTGAATTTAGCTGTGTTCACTTCTGGGGATTGAACTGTCACATTCTGGGATTGTCACCACTAATTTGGAGTCAAAAAAAAGGGCCTGCTAAAGGGATTTCAAATGCAAGCTTAAGAATGCCCAAAAAAGTTAACTCTTGATGTTTTAAAGCAGGTTTAAACTTGTAGCTTTATTTTTTTGACATTGTCCCATTTAAGACAGAGCCTGGCTTGTTCTTTATCTCCAACCTTCCCTGAAGTTCAGTGGAAACATGATCTTTACAGTACAGAGCACTCACCTTCCAATCTTGACAGTTTTCAGTGCCTGACACCTGATTTGAGAACTAGAAAAACTTGTTTTGACAGAAAAGCCATGACATAACAAATATTCACAGCCACAGTGCACAGCTACCTGTCTGCTACAACCCTCCCTTTTGTTACAAACCAGAATACTCCAATCTAGGCATGATGGAAACAGTAAACGTACAATGGAAATCGTTAAACTGGAAGATGCACAATCCTATACTGGTTTCTTGCTATTAATCACCCAGCAAGTCAGTACCTCGTATTATGCATCATCCTACGAGGAACAGAAGCTGCAGCACACAATATATGGCTGCGCAAAAGAGGTGCTCACTGTTGGGTGCATCAATTCCTCTTTTATGAATTAGTGATTCTGCCAATAATTATTGAGCATGGATATAATTCAAGTGGAAGATCACAATTTGCCTAAGTGAAAAATGCAGTACAATGTTGTCAATAATTATAGACACAAGTTCATAGTATCAACATTGCAATTGAAGTTAAAAACAAGACAGGTTTTCTCCATTACATGACTGCCCCAGCATCCGGTACCATTAACTTTCCACCCAACATTTTCATACTGCATATGAGTGTTCAAACACACAATACTCAAACCACAAATTGTCTGTCTCATTCAAGAACCTATCTCTATGCATAATACTTCTTATTTTTTCCAAATGTTTTCCTATCAGTCTTCAAAGGAAAGCACAGTGAGATGGCACAAAAGTTTTACTAAGTTTCTCTGAGACAGACCATTACTTTCCATAGGATAAAACAAAAAGAGCTTACTACTCCTATTAATTTATTTTTGGAAGCAAAATCTCAGGCACTTCACAAACGTTAAGAAAACCTTCATGTCAGAGGTTCACAGCTAAAAGATACAAACAGGTTCACCATTTAAATAACAAGCAAAATGCCAATCACAGAAATTTACACTTGGCCTTTGCAACATGTGCCCGCATAGCTGGAAGCCTTTGGCTTCCAAAGCAGACATTGAGTCCTCATAGCAGCCTTCAGTTCAGCAGGAGTAGCCTGTGATCAGGGTCACAGAAATAAAAACAGGCTGTTAATATAGGTACTTAACTCTACCCACCCAAATGGGAACATTCTGGACAGGTTCTCTTTCTGTGTATGCACACAGGCATGTTTAAGTTGTTCTTTCCATTTTTCCACACATATCCACCTCACGTTATGTGCCCTTAATGATTTTTCTGAAAAGTACTTACTGGTAGCCAACAGATGACCACTAATGGCTTAAGAACAGATGTGCCTGAAGGCCTCTATGCTACAAATCTGTAGATGAAAGAAACAGCAAACAAGAAAAATTTGAATCTTGTCTTTCCTGACTGATACCCCTTATTTTCCTGCTTCAATTTCAAAATGCAAAAATATTTCTCCTGTTTTCCTTAATGCATGTCTTTGGCATTCTCTCATTTTCTGGGTCCTGATGAACAGTGTTGTGGAAACACATCATCCTGCAGAATGGTGGAGAGATCACCAACTTGCTGAACATAAGCTGCCTAGCAAAGGTGTCCGATGGTTTCACCCAGGGACACATTGTCCTGGCAGTGCAAGCTGTCCTGACCGAGCTACGGCTCCTGCAGATGAGGAGGAAGCCACTGAGGACTGCCGAGTTCACGACAGCTCTGGCCAGACAGGACCCTGTGTACAAAGAGGAGGAAGAAACGTTTAAGGTGACATTAAGAGCTATGTTAACCAGCTGTCTTTCATCGTCTCCTGCCATGTCCTTGTCCAGGCACATTTGATCTAGAGACCTGCTAATTCTGCTGATGGGTTGGCACATCACTATTTCAATGATGATGTATGGCTCAACGGCACCAAACACCCATCTCCCCCATTTGGAGATGTTTGGCGGCCCGGGCTGCCAGGCAGCTGGAGGTTGTTGCAGGCAGCAGCTCTGCACAGCAACACGCCTGGCAGACTGCTTTGCTGAACCTACTGCCTGCACCCAGCTATCCGAACAGAACGGCCTTCACACGCGTGGATAAATTATGCAGGTGCCAGCAGCACAATGCATTGGTCCTTTTTCTTTGAGCCGACATGTTCAGCAAGCCTGGCTACGTTATCTCGAGAAGCCAAAATCCTGGACGTGCAGGGTCTGCAGGGTGGTCCACATAGGGGTCAAATACTAAGTCCTTATTTCAAATTATTTCAAACAGGAGTTTTCATTTCAGGGTTTAAAAAGGAAAATTAGTTTCTGCTTCAAGCTCCATCCCTCTCCTCACCCTCAGGGCTATAAAACCCTGAAGGCAAACCCTAGTGCATTTGAGATGCATTACACCAAATATACATGAACCACCCTGCAAACAACTACTTTTTCCACATGTAACTGTAATAATTACTCTTTCTTTCCCTAGACTATGATTATCTTTATGTAGTGGTTATTTCTGCTTTCACCGTATTGCTTTTGGGTTTCCTATTGATGGGAACAGTTTATCAGGCTTAAGTACAGGCCTACAAATTATTTACTGTAGTGACTTCAGTATAGCTTAGGGACAGCTGAACTGGACTTGAACCACCTACTGAGTGCAACACTACAGTTTAGCAGCACTGACACCTCAGAAAAATGGGATAATGCTCAACTAGGGCACTTCGACCCTACTAAGTGGTGGTAAAAGCCCTGACCCCCAAAAAAGAAAACCCTGCTGGGTACCAAGGAGCTGCAGGCAGCCCGCACCAGGGGCTCCAAATGGGATAGGACTTGTGTGCTGAAGCCAAGAGACCCCAAAAGAGTTCTCAGTCCCATACCCCCTCCACTTCTACCCAGACCTGCTAATAAACCATCCAGTCCTCCTAGCTGGAAGGTTTCCTTTTCATTTTGCTCTTTGAATCCCCTCTGGTTTTGAATCCCCACAGCACCTCACACAATAAACAGAATGCAGTTTCTAACAACTTTGTCCAAGTCGTCTTCCACTGCTAGCCTAATGATAGTACATATTTCTCCCAGCCCCGTTGAATACTTTCCAGTTTCCATTTAGAGCCATTTGGCTCACTCGACATAGGCAGCATTTGTGATATTTGGCAAATTACTCTTTTTTCCTCATGCTTCCTATCTAAACCAATATCTTTCCTCAGGGAAAGGCTAATGGTTCAGTGTTGCAGCAAAGAGAAAAAAAAAAAAAAAAAAACTATCATTCCCAGCTCCAAGTAGTAATCCATTTGTACCCTGAAACATGAGAGCTAGTATTTAGTGCGACTAACTTGAAAGTATTATTACACTTACTATAAATGTGCCTGTTTTGTACAGCACAAGGTATGCAGGCAGCACTTCATTTTGAACACGGCTAAAATGATACTGTCCTCAGCGTCCCACGGCAATCATTTCCTTGCATTAATTACAGCCCTTAAGAAAGTATTTCCTTTTATCCGTTTTAAATTTGTTTCCCTTAAATGTCATGGAACCTTGCCCCAGAACCTGTAATATGGCACAGGGGAAGAGGACTGTCAAAATGGCTTCGTGCATTAATTAACTCCCATATCTCCATCTCTTCTTGCACAGAAGTCCCTCTTCCTGAGCCTCTAATCATTGCCATCGCTGTACCTTTTCTGTTCCTTTGCTTTGTCCTTTTTGAAGTGGGGCAGCTAAAATGCAGTATTCAAGGTGAAAATTAGTGCTGTGATGAATCTTTGATTTCTAGTCACTGGAAACTTGAGTCTCCCTGTTTGACATTTATATTCTGCCAGTGTTCCAAAATGCATATAAATGATGCAGAATTTGTAATAATGTGATTTCTTCATTCAATTTACTCAAATTTCTGCCCCAATTATACTTCTACATTTTTGAAATTATAAATTATTGCACCAGTGCGATCGATACAAATCCTCACACAGAAATGGCAGTAGTCCTGGAGGAGCAAAGGGCAGTCCCACCAGCACACTAGTTCTGCCTGGCAGTGACTGGTACAAAATACTTACGGTGTGTAAGAAAACCCATACCAGAGACTGTGGACATCATTCCTCCAACAAGTAAACATTTTAACTCTGATCAGACACTTCCTGTCAGTAGTTTACATCCCCCATTCAGATGCTAGTGCATCAGTGATAAACCTACTTTTATTTTAACCATACCTGAAGAGCTGGCTTCATTAATCCCACACAGCGGTTCCCCTGGCTTAAGAGCCCAAAGCAGCCATTATCACATGCCAACAGGCAGGTTAATTTTGTGCATTGAAATATATGCACAAAGAAAATGGGCAGAGAACACGAGAAGACATCACGAGTCGCTGGGCTCCTCCTGCCACGCGCAGCAGAGTCCTTTCTCCACGGCTCAGAGCGGGCAGTGAGACGAGCCCCCCAGCCCGCGCCCACCAAACGGCGCTTTCCACGGCGCTGCTGAGCTCCCAGCAAGCTGCTGGCAGGGTGTTGTTATTCCTTCCTTCTCCCACTTAACGTCTGGAGAGCATCATACCCAGGACAACAAATCTGGGGGGAAAACAGAATTTCTCCGGCCTCATGGCCTGTCAGGCATGGGAGGCCAGGGGCATTGCTTTAGCCAGTTCCTCCCCGATCCAGCAGTCACAACCACCACCTTGTCTTTCTTATCCCACCCAGGTGAAGGACCAGAAACAGCCATCTCCAGACCTTTCCCTGCCCCACCCTGTCCCAGCTGTGCCTGTTCTCCCTGACGCAGGGAGAGCTTGGCCCCAGACCATCTTTAGGACAGCCGACCTCAGTTGCCCAAGCCGCTGCACTGAGCGCCCAGGGGTTCCTCCCAAACACCTCCCATGACACCACCCACCCAGATGTGGATGCACAGGAGGTTGCGTGACGTTTTAATCGGTTTTAAAGGGCTGCCCAGCAGCCAGCCGGACATTTGACAGCCATCAAAGCTGCATTTACCTGGTGACAGCATTTAATCTGCAAGACAAGAGATCCAAATAGGGTGCCTGTCATCAGCCCCTTTCCAGGACCCAGAGGAAGCCTTTAAGCAGCATGACACTAAGAAGGACCATCTGGGGCCAGGAGAGGAGCATTAAGGGGTTTTCTTTTTTCCCCTATACACTTCCAAGACCTCTTCTTCCAACTATTTCTCTTGCTGCTGCCCGTTTGTAACACATACTGGGAAACTGGACAAGGCAAATTCCTGGGGGTAGCCTTTCCAGGCTCAAACTGGAGGCAGCGTTTTGGATGGATCCTATGAAAAAGGCAGACTTTACAGGGTACCACAGTGGTAGGAAGGTTGAAGGTGACAGGAGCCCAAGTGAAGGGCAGAGGGGACACAGTTGTGGCATTAAATAGTGGTCTGTGGTCAGAGGAAAGACATTCATTCCTGAGGCAGCGCATGGGCGAATACAGTCAAGAAGGAAGGCATTTTATCAATCATGTCAACACCTAGTGGCATTTTAATCTCTGGTGCAGGCAGGACTTTACTGATAAAAGTTCCTGCGCGTACATATGGGGAAAGACTAATTCCTACACACTACTAACAGTAAAGCATTGCCTTCTCCTTCACTTTACATTATTTTCACATGGCCTAAAACTGCCTTGTTGACATTACAGTCCAGGAGCTTGGCAAGATTGGAGAACAACTATACCAAAATCATTTACAAGTCACGGGACTGTGAACAGGCATCTGAAAGCAATAAACAGGTTTTTAATGTTCAGGGTTTGTTTTGCTTCTTAAGCTCTCTCATTGAAATAAAAACTGTCTGGATTGATTTGCAGGGCCATGAGAAGTAGACGCTTTGTCTTTTGCCAAGTTTCAGACTGGAGGGAGTTTGCACAAGAGCTATATACCTCAGAAATAGGGTTGATCGTAGAAGTTCTAACATTTCCATAGCTATAGCAACACAAATGGCCCAGCTAAGTATTCCTGTTAATGAGACACAGCTCAAGCAAGCAATTGCTATACTTCTTGTTATAATAATGTCCTCAAGAGATCTGAGGATTTAATTTCTGCTTTTCCACAAGCCAGCCAGGATTTTAAGAGTTTTGGGTTTTTTAAGGAATGCTCCATTGTACTAATAAAAATTTTAAGTGTTCTTTTTTTTTTTTTTTTTTTTTTTAAAGTTTTAATAAAACATAAACATGCTTTTTGATTCTCCAGGTTTGGTATGCCAAGACACCGCTGGGCGGAGCACGAATCAGAGCACTGGCAGGCAGTAAGAAAGCAGGAAAAGGAAAAACAAATAAAGGAAAAGGGAAAAAGTAACTTCCTCAAGAACTTTGCATCTGGGGATACCAGTCACAGCTCTGCTTCCCTGAAAAGGGGAAGACGTTAGGGAAGCAGACACATCAGAATAACGCACCTCAAGTTAGAGATATTCCAGGAAAGAGAATTCCTTTCTGAATGAATTTTTAAAAGTTTAAAAAAATCAGATGAGACATCAATGTGACATGTAGCTCTCAGAGGATAAAGAGTTAATGACCACTGACTTGCTCAAGCATTATTTATTCTAAGAGGTTTTAGGGGGCAGAAGGGTTCATTACTCAGGACTGTAACATGCCATCAACTTTTAGGCTATACTCATTTATTTCAGCAAGTAACTCGCCTTAAAAATTGATGTCACATTAATGTCTTTCATTACTTTAATATCCTATATGCTTTATAAAACTAACTGCTTTATATATCTGTAGGTCTAATGTGTTACAGTTCTCAATAAAACTATTACAGCTATAAAGACTGCTTTTTAATTGGGATGGATTATAAGGCACTTAATGCAATCTACCACAAGCTGAATATTTACATAGCCGCATGAGGACCAACACTGTTTCACCTTTTCATGCTTTATCATGGACAAACTCATATATGTGGATGTTAGCAGAAACCATTAATAAGCAGAACAGAAGCAAAAGCAAAGCAGTCAGGTGGTCTTCATTTTGGTGGATGTCCTGAGAATCTACTTTGCAATAGAAAACAATGCCCAATTACCTCGTTTGCACAAATAGCAATATATCTGTTGGTAAAAAAAAAAAAAAACCTGTATGTAGCAGAACAGCAGCTGCAATGGCAATCTGGAATAGGCCTGTTGAGCTTTCTAAAAGGTTGTTTCATGCTGTGTTAAAACCCAACCCACCCAGACCTGCTTCAGCTTCTTCTAAATCCAGTCCTGCAAGCTCCCGTTTAAGCAGCCCACTGGTGAAAGTCTGCCCCATCGCATTCAGACCCCGTACAGATGTGGCCTGTGGGATCACAGTAACTCTTTCTATGTGCTTGAGCGGCAAAAACGTGAGGCCACCCAAGGAATGTCTTCTGCACAGAAGGACCCAAGATGCTCAGAGACAGAGATTTCCTGGTCTTGTGCTCTGATGTAGCGTCTCCGACTCGATAGAGTGCGCTAGGCCCGACATCCAAATATCACAAATAGCAAGTGCAGGGAACTAAACCTTCTCAGAAACACAACGCACCGAGTAGTCCACGACAGCATTTGACGGTGTTTCAGTTGAGAGGCTGTCAATCTTATTTGCTCGCAAATCAGCAATTTTGGGGGCAAGGTTTTTATAAACAGTGGTTAGAACACCCTAAAGCTTTGGGGCATCCTGTGTGACATTAATAGAGCCAGCGCCATCTTTATGTCAGGTACGGGATCTCATTCACCAGGGTCTTCTACAAATAAGAGCCAGGAACACCTGTTTTCACCTCTAACTGTGGCACACCTGTGTTGACTTGATGACAGGTAAACTCACAAGGCCTATTTGACTGGAAACACAAGGCACGCCATCCCCGGGGAGCTGAAGGACCTCTCCACGCCTTCGCTCCAGACAGGCCGGGAGGTTTGAGGAGGTTCGCGTTGCTGTTGGAAGCTGCTCAGGTCTCCCCCCAGCACAGACCACTCCAACCAGCCCTTGAGGGAGGGCAGGCGGAGGACAGCACATCACACAGGCTCTGCCGGTTACGGTGTACACCAAGTATTGCACTGCTCACTGCTTATTGAGATTTTACTGATACGTAAAAGAGAACAATCCCATTTTAAACATTTCTTCGTCTTTCTACTATCCCAACCCCTTCCTCCCGCTGCTTCCCCTGGTAGAACAGAGTTATTCCACCAAAAATACAGTGGCAAGTGACTTGCAGAAGGTGCGTTTTTACCTGGATGGGCAGTACACAACAAGCTTTAGGACAGAAACCCTGCAGAAAGACAAAAGCCCACCCAAAAACCTGCTTGAGAAGATGCTCTAACAAAGCTTTCTGGGAAGGGGGTGGTATCGAGCCTCTCCTGCTCCTGAGATGAAATCCAATGGACAAAGTTGACGCTGGAAACAACAAAGTCTGAAGAAAAGACCAGAAAGATTCCTCCAGGCAGCTAACTGCACAGAAAACAACTTGAGCAATCATAACATTGAACACAGCAGAGGGGACCGGATGGCTGTGGTTAATAAAGTGAATTTTCTCCCCAAGGGAAGAATAGGCTGCCAGACTACCACAGCACAGCCACCCCAGCTCAGGCTTTTTGTGGTCCTCTTTGGCTACACTTTGCTGTCCCAGACAAGGCTCCCCTGGATTTCAGCCTTCCAACCTTCAGGCTGCATCTCCAGCCCTGCCAAGAGGATCCAAACAACAGGAGAGAAAACGCTTGCTGGATCTCCTCCGTGCAACGCCTTCAGGATGTTTCTGGTGTACACAAGTCCTTCCCCCAGCCATCCCGGCAGTAACCCGGCTGCTGGAGCCTCGTCGTGACCCACACAAGGGACCCCACAGGTACGAGCTCCCAGCCCCTGGATTTAATCGCTTGCAACAGAGCAGCTACAAACTTCTGCTTTTCTTTCTCCATTCTTTCTTTGCAGACGCTTGCTTGTGGCAGGCAAAGATTTTTCACAGATTTGGCAGCACATCCCAATTAAAAAAGGTACTCTTCAACTTCAGTCTCGGTGAGAAGAGAGCCAGATGCTCCAAAGAGGTGGCAGGGTTTGTGTTAAAAACCTCATCTCTGCTCTCATCTGCAAGAAAACTAATTTGGATAATTCTGTCCTCAATCTTGCCGACAGTGGAATACTCCTCTCCACAACAGGTTTGACAGCAGAACACGATGTGATGAAAAGACCGCATTTAAGTTGGACGTAAGCAAGCCCATTAACTAATATTTCAGCAGGTTCAATGCAATCTCAATAGCAAAGTAACACGCTGACTGGCAACATCCATCTCCAGGGCATGACTCTGACCCCGTGCAGAAAGGATGCATGAACCTCTCACTGTCCCAGGTGTGCTTGGCAGGGTAGAAGCCTGCAGTTTTTCTCCAGTATTTACCAGTTTATGGGAAAAAAAAAAAAAAAAAAGCACCGGGGCAATTTATCCTTTAGGTGTAGCTTGCAATGGTGGCTGCTTTCAGTGTAAACTGCATATTTTTTTTTTTTTTTTCTCCAGGGGGATCTAGAAGCCACGCTGGTATATCTACAAACAGCTCCGTGGGCCCAGGGGCTGACAAAGAGGCAATAAAGGAGACAAATTCTGCCCTGTGTAGCTGCCAAGCCCTCACTCTCCTTCAGAGAGTCCTCTTGGGGCGGTGGGGAGGGAAGAATGAGGAGAAGTTTTAATAATATTTGTAATTACTATTACAGAAAGTGAAGCTACTTGAAAATGAAGCTGTTGCATCAGGCAGAGTCAACACACAATAATTTCACTGTCAGTGGCTGAACTATTCAATTAAGCAGCCCTGGCTGGATCTCCAACACCCGTCCCACGGTGGGGCTAATAGTGCTCTCACAAGAACACGATCTACCCAGAGATCTTTCACCACGGGAAGAAAAAAAAAAAAAAAAATTGTGACTTTGTTAAACCCTGCTGCAGGACAGTTGCGCTCTGCTGTCCAGCCACGGTAATCCCAAAGTCTGATGAGGGAGGAAAATCCTCTTATCTGCACCTTGTCCCCTACTTAGTTTCCAGCAAGAAGTGAGTTTTGGGTGACAGCAGAGAGGGGTGCCAGGCTGCTTTGCCTCCTGGTGTGGTGGTGGGAGGTGATCCAGCAGCACCAGCAAACTTGAGAAAAGAAGCTGTCATGCTCATTTATATATGTAAGTGATCTAGAGAATTATCGGCTAAATTATTTAAATGTCCCATTACTATTAAATTACTGGGCATTCATTGTACGAACAGTCATAATACAGTAACTAATTTGGTATTAATGTGAATGTCAGCGTTTCATTGCAGTTATTTTGTACTTCATCATAAGATAATTTACCAATAAATTAATTGGCTTAATTGCTTCCTCCAAACCCAGAACTACATATGACATGACTTTTAAAAAGTGCTCATACTCATTCCCCATCTTTCTGCTTCACCCACACCGAGCAGGAACCCTGCTTTGAAACACTGGGGGAGGGAACAGCCAAGAAAGAGGGAGCAAAGCAGGAATTCACTTTCCTAGAGGTGACAAAATCTTGGCATATCCCTGCCCTGGGTGGGGGGTTAATGTGCTTTAAATCTAGCCTCTGAGGCCACGCTTGCAGCGGGAGCCCGGGTTTCAGTGCCAGTTTTGCAGGGTCCTGGGCGGTGGGCAAGGAGCACAGCCCCAGCACTTGCCTCCGTCCAAGGTAGGGGAAGCACCTGGGAGCCATTCTTGCCCACCTCCCTGTTGTACAAATTCCCCCCACGTGGCCTCCGCCTCCCCAAAATACCAGTAACCCCCAACTCCCACCACCTGGGCATCAGCCCAACCAGCCAGAGCATAGACTAGAGCTGCAGCTAACAGACCTGCTCCAGCTGGAAAGGGGTTGTTACCAGTTTGCCACAAGGCAAAAAAAGAAAAAAAAAAAAGCAGCACCATAATCAGGATTTCAGGCATCTAGCAGATACCCTGCCTCAGATGTCTGCCAATTGATTTAAACCCTATCAATAAAAGGCTGAGAAACACAAGGGGTCTACCGTAGCGCTTGGAATGGGATGAGTAAGAAACCAAAACCAAGAAGAGCCTTAAGACACGAGGCATCACCCCCGCGCTGCTCTCCAGCGCCCAGGGAAGGGCCCCCCCAGGCTCTTGGCAGACCCCAGGCACCATCCCCTGTTGGTACCCGCGCCAGGGACGCCTCAGCATCCCAGCAGCGAGCCCTTGGGGATGCAGTTGCCCAACAGCAGCCCCGGAGGGGAAAAAAAAAAAAAAACAAAACAAAACAGCCCTCGCTGGGGTGAAGGAGGCAGCCGCCACGAAGTCCTGCTTTCACAACAGGCCCCGGGTATTATTAGGTCCCCGGCTTACACCGCTGGGGCCAAAGCCCTTTAGTCAGACACTGTAACTCCTGTTAAAGAAGTCTTGCCAGCCCTGGTCTCCCACCCTGGCCAATTTTGCGTGGAGCCGTTTTGCCTCGCTAGCCCGTGCTCGTTTAGGGATGGGGTTACTGGGAGTGCCACTGCCTTCCTGAAAGCCGACTCCTCCGGCACTGGGATTTTTACAACCAGTGCTGAAGCTCTCTGGCAACCACAGCGAGTCTCCCACAGCTCCCACCCTCCTACGTTCCCCAGGAGCATAGGAAAAGTTTACCGCTGTTTTCTTCTCCAGGAGATGGAAAAAAATCTCCATCGAGAGCGCAGTGGGTAAGGACAGCCATTTTCTCCAGTTTCTTGGTTCAAATGTTTTTGTTTTGTTTTGTTTTGTTTTAATAAATGAACAGGGCTCTTCAGCAAAGCACTGGGAACAGATTTCACCAGACTCAGCGCTTTGGTCCATGCTCCTCCATCACCAGGCAGGGATCAGCCCAACTGCAAAACGCTGTTAAATCGATATTTATGATCATTTACCCTGGTCCTGGGCAGTCTGCATCGCGCCAGGCTGGCGAATGCTCCGACTGCAGGTGGGAACGCATCTCCTTCCAGCCCGTGAGTCCCAACCACGCGGCACCTGTTGTAGCTTTATTGTTTAAGTTGCCATCAGAATGAAAAAACAATCCGTCATTTCTCAGCAAAACCCCCCAAATCTGGTAACACAAAGCGAAGCTGACTGTTCTATTAACTCCCATCCTGCATCAGCAATTTTCTAAAGTGTGGAAACATTATAATTGACTTTTCTGCTAGTAGCAAAATGTCATTTTTTCTTAATACTTCCTAAGTCAGTAATGCATTTCAAAAGCCTCCAATGCCACTACCACAACAGGACTTACAAATTAGCACATTTTTAGCTTTTCATTAAACACAATACCAAAAAATTCTCATCATATTAGGGTTTCTCTCCTCATTATTGAAAGTA